GAGAAAAAATGATAAAGTGCAATATTCTTACTGTTGATAACTATTCATGTGTAAAATTATCTCGTCATGTGTAGCCATTAGCGTTTCGACGAAAGTAAAATTAGATTCTATCGTCTATCGTTTCTACATCATTGTTAAAAAAGAACAAAACATAAAAAGATATCATATAATAGGCAAAACATGTTTAATTCGTCTGACTGACTTGGAAGATACTACAAAATAGCTATACTGTGACACAAAACCAAAAGACATCTTGAAGCAATCCGACAGTTTCCAGTTACAGATAGGTGTCTATCTAATTTCCAAACTATAAATTGCCCCGAGTATATCACATAGATATTCCAAGTCAGTTTCAAAAAATTGACTTCAGCTTTATCATTGTTCAATACTGCCGTTTCCATCCTAACATTTAACAAAGATATAGGGAAACGTCTTATCCTCAGACATACTTTTAGCCAGGGAAAACATGATTCATTTATAAGTTGAAGTGAGCTTTGACCTTTTATGCTTATAGTTCCAATCTGATGAGTCAATCCTTTTTGAACTGATCTTTTCGGTTAGTTTTATTGTTGAATGTGATACTAGTGTCCCGACTTAAGGATAGGGTTGATTACTTACAAAAATGTTAAATCCCGCGACATTCGTTAATAACCTCTTTCGATTATAGTGGATAAAGTTTCCTCTTTTAAATAAATAGGCAATCATATACCATATCTCATCATTAGTTTGACAAACATGACTAAAGCTTGGAAATGAAATAAATGTCATAAAACATGTCAAGTTAATAATGCAGCGAATTCTTATACCAAGTATCATTATCACGTCGTACATAATACTAAGAAAAATTCACATCTTATTTTGTTTCAAGCGATTAGTTGAGTCTTGAAATTCGTGAATTTGAGATTGCACAGAGTGTGAATTACTTTTTTCTGGAAAAGAGACGATGTTTGCTCCAGATTAATTACATTGTGTATTCCTGGTATGTAATAGGAAATTGGGAAAAGATTATCATGGTAAAATCTAATCAACGATACCAAGCTTAACATAGTGTACGCCAGACGCGCGTTTCGTCTACATTAGACTCATTAGTGACACTAGAATAAAAAAAAAAGTTGAGAGTCCAACTCAAATACTAACTTGAAGAGCCTTAAAGGCAAAAATTCCAAAACTATACGCCAGTTCCAAGATACGGTAGTTAGTCATATCTGACATGTGAATTTGATCACCACATGACAAAAATGTCACTTCTAACATATGTTGAGCAAATGGGTGAAAAAGTTTGATGCTATACTGCACGAATTTTTCGGGAAATTAAAATCTACTTCGTTGGTCACCCTCACTTCAGTCGTACGGGACATTGAGATTACATTAAGATTACGTCCCATCAGAACAAAAACTGTTTATAGACTACACTGCATTATGACGACCCTGTAGATGGTTTAAACTTTAATAGGTGCAGGGATATAGGCGCGCCTTCTGTCTGGTAAATGACGTCATAAAAGAGTTTGTATTTTATGATTTTTTCCGATGAAAGACATGATTCGAGAAACAGCCTATTATGCCACACAAAGCACAGGCAATCTATACCTACTGGTAAAAACATCTTAGTGTTTCGAATAGTTTTTAAAGGCATACATAAACACAAGTAATATAGGAATAAAAGGATATGAGGACTATACCTCAATGAGCCAACAACCAAATCTTATTTTTGTGAACGGAGGAGGTATGAAAAAGCCATTTTTTTGGGATCTTTGAAATCAAAAATCTAAAAGTATCATAACAAAGAACATCCTTTAGATGTTCATAAGACAATGTCTGTCAGATATAAGTATTCATATTTTGAATTTTGTCTTGCATATTTATATTAGAGCTTCAAACTTCCTGCACGTCGTGCAAAATTGTATATACTGCCAAAAACAACCTCATTTCGAGATCTTGCCATTTATATTAAGATATGAGCAACAGCTTTACCTAAAAAGGTTATTCTACAAGTTGCATTTTACACAGATAATCTAGATTAAACATCTTTTTCGGCAAAGCATTTGCTCGTTCGCATTTTGCCCAAAAAGTATGTGTAAAATTGTCATTTAATCTCAAAAATGACAATTTCAATATGATTGTGCCATCACAATGACATTTCTGCTCTAAGATGCCCAGATCTTACTAACCTGTTCATATATCAATTTAATATAAAAACAAAAAAATTAACATACTTTTAAAAAGCTTTAGTAATTGTACTTTTTTTTTTGCAATTTCAAGGGCCAAATAATAGCTCTTTTTATACCTCTCCTTTTACCTAAACTACTATCGTTAAAAGATTTAGACGCCTAAACATTCATTGTGATTGTGTATTATCATTCAATGATTTTTTTTTATTTTCTTTCCTCATGATCTCGGCCTTTGTCATTCGGATAACTTTTCCATAAAAGAGTTGTAATGCATCGATGGATATTTCTTTATTTCAAGTATCACGTTCAGTCATAAATATTTTTCAGAAAGCGCATCTGCCCAACCAAATTGTAAACCTGAAATCTTCGTTGAATTTTTAGAGGAGATTATTCATATGTCCTTTTTCATTATTTTCTTATCTTTTTTTATGTCTTTGTATAAGGTTTATCTATATTTTGAAGTATCCTCCGTCACTTCATGTCAACCTTACCTTGTATAAAGCAAAATAACAAAAATACCGAACCCCAAGGAAAATTCAAAACGGAAAGTCCTTTGTAAAATGGCAAAATCAAAAGCTCAAGCACATCAAACGAATGGAAAACAACTGTCATATTCCTCACTTGGTACAGGCATTTCCTTATGTAGAAAATGGTGGATTAAACCTGCTTTTATATGTAGCTAAACCTCTCAATTGTATGACAGTCGCATAGAATTCCATTATATTGAAAACAATATGTGAGCAAAACAAACTTTTTTTGCTGTGCATGTACTGATTTTGTGTCATGGATGGATACCCCATATCCTTTGTTTTTCTATTAGACAAAATAGGTAAAAATGTCAAAAATTAGGGTACAGCAGTCAACATTATGTTATAATCTTAATCACCACGCATATCTTTTCCTTCGTGTGAAAGTTGGCATTTGTTTACGTTTTGTTATGCTTAGGCATTAAAAAGATGAAGGTGTGTCACCTTCTTCATTGTGAGTACCATCTAATTAATTGCCGTAAATAAAGACAACAGTAGTATACCGGTGTTCAAAAGTCATAAATCGATTGAGAGAAAACAAATCCGGGTTTATTGCTCATTGTTTCTACGGTTCTTTTATAGTTTTACGCTTGACTTTTTGTCAATTTTTACTATAGCTCCTCTTTTTTCTATGGAAATTGTTTTAACAATCCTTTGTGTCTAACTATTTATTTGTAACATATTTCCATGCAGTCAACATCAATTTCCTCCAATTTTTCCCATACACTTCTTATTACAGATTCAGAAACCTGTTAAAAATTCAATCTTTTCAAATGCTTATTTCTCAAAAACAAAAACAAAAAGCACGAAATTATCTGACTGTTTATAATTTTTATTGTCGAACCTGCAACAATAGCAATCCTGCATTCCGTCGTCGGCCGGCGTCAAAATTAAGGTTATGTCTGTTGTTTAAGTTTATTTTTAAGCATCAATGACTTTCTTAAAACTTTATGAACTATATGAAATTTGGACAGAAGCTTTAGTATGGACAAAACAATAGACAGTATTCAAAGGAAACATTTTAAAATATTTGTTTCCAGTTTTTCGTATTTTATTGATATATGGACTTATGTTTTGCCGTTAACATTAAAATACAGTGTAAGGTTAAAGTTTTTATTCTTCAGTAATTTTCATGGAATGTTACATAAATTGGACAGAACCTTATTATGACCAAAAGACTGTATCCAGAACAAAGTTATGTCAGTTTTTATGGACTTCCCCTTTTTGAATTTACCTTGGAGTTCGGTATTTTTGTTATGCTTATTACGAAAATATTTTTAAGGGCATTTTGACGCATTTTCAGATTAAAGGATTTACTTTTTTTAACCTTTATAGAATTTTATGAAATTTTTGCTCAAGCGTTTAAAGATTAAGAGGTCAAAAATTTGAAAATATATATCTTGTTCCTTTTTCAGTATTTCCTGATTGATTTTTGCACTTAACATTTTCATATAGTATGGGATTATATTTTTTGACATGATGAATTTGTAAACCTGCAAGGATTGTTATGTAACTTGGATAGAAGTTAATGGTAGTTAAAGAAAAAAGTTTGATTTTTTAAAAAAGGAACTTACTTTTTACACTCATCTTAATATTTTTAAACTGACAACAGCAAAAGCAAACGAGACACAGGGTTCCGTGGAATCCATTACGAAATTTTTTGTACTATACCTTATTTTCCTAAAATGTTGTTAATGTAAGCAAACACCCTTAAGAGAAAGATAGTGGAAGGAGTCCGAAATCAAATTTTATAAATATAAAGTATTGCATTATAAGTCCTTGAAGACTAATGATAACTTTCTCTCACTTTTGAAATTTAAATATTGGTTTCCGTTTGTCGACTTACGTGGCATCATCGTATCTTACAACTTTGCAAGAAAAAATACCCGATATAATCTTCTTTTCGGCAAAAGGGAAATTAGAAAAATACCTTTTTTTCTTTATTAATATTGTATCAGAGTTTGATTATTTGTTTTGTGATATAAAGTAGTGATATGTTAAAGATTTTGAATACCGTAATAACTGGTTAATTCTTGTGAAAAAATTCGGTATGTTTTAAAAAGTGTTAATTTCCTGCTTTTACTTTCATGTATTACCTAGATTTTTTATAGGGGCGACGACTTTACATTAAACTCTAATTAATTGACTCGACATTTACGGGTTTGGTACTTGCATGAACAATTCAGTTTAAACGCCACAATCTGACAACCAAGACACAATAAGTATTATCATAATGTCATGTGATGTTTTCAGCGGCAAAACAAGATTGCGACAATAAACTTTGAATATCACATAACCGGTGGTTTTCAAATTTTATTTATATTTTGTAAAAACAAACAGTTTCATATATAACGGTAAAGTTTACTTTCAAATACGTATACCTATACAGCTATAGTCAAATAAATGAATAAAACTCATTTTACATGACATTAGACATGAAAACTTTTGTATTTCCTCGATGATTTCCAAGTCGTTTAAAATAAGCAATGTATACTTATAAAATAACATTACTGTCAAAGCATTTGATTACACTTAACACATATATAATTCAAATAGCACGGTGCGTGAATATTTAATAATTTAACAATCTGCCAACTCTTCATAGCATTGTAAATAAATAAAGTTGTTTATTGGCAAGTTGGTTTTAATTCTCATAAAACTGTTGCTATTTCGCTAGAAAATAATGGCACATTTTCATTGTCATCCTTTAATTTTAGAGATGATTCAAAGTAAAGACCACCGTTTTCATCACTGTTATTATGATACAGTTCTGTTTCTGTATCGTAATTCGTTATGTCTTTACCTAAACTATTACACGATTCAACAGCTCTAATGAGCGATAACCCGTTCTGACGTTTGTAAGTTGGTGACTCTTGCTCATGTCCTGACCCGGACGACTGCACAGAAAATGTCCGCGTTGAACGCGTTGACGTCATACTTTGTCTTCTTAACATGTGTCTCTGCCAATGTTTCTTTATTTCAGATTTTACCTAAAAGACAAGTAAGGATTATATTTAAGATCATATTACTTTTATAAGTTTTTAAATAAATAAACCATGTTCCAATTACCGGCTTTGTTTCAATTTTTTTTTTTTTTTTTTGGCAAAGTGAAACAACTGTGCTCATGCTAATACAAATTCGGTGGAACCAACATGGTGTGGTATCTTACAACGATTTTTACTTTTAATTTGCATTACACTTCTATGGTACAACCAGGTATTTCAAAATAGCTATTTTACATAATGAAATTTCATAACAGCTTACGCACACCAAAGTATGTTCTTTCCATAAAGTTCTTTTGGGCAGAGATATAATAAACAAAATAACTTTTAGAATATGAAACAATGTTTGTGATTTAAAAATAGACTAATTTATGGCTTATGGTTTCAATTAGCTGTGTATAAATACCGAAAGCGACAAATTTCTACGTTACACTTGGCATTAAGCGTAGAAAAAACTAAGAGACAAACCTATATAAATAAAGAGGTGTGGGTATGATTGCCATTAAGACAACTATCAACCACAGACCAAAAGACTAAGATGTAGACAAATAGTTTACATATTGAGGTAAAGGTTAAAGAACGAGTGTCAAAACAATGTGTCTTAAAAAATGATTACATTACTCACTCACCTCATCGAGTGTAAAACAGAATAACATAGACACAGCAAACCCCTGCAACATAAAGTTAGATCTGCATGATGTGATTTGTAAAAAAAAAAAAGACTCCTGGCATACATATATATAGTCTTTGTAATTTAAAACCTAGATATTACAGACATAGCATATTGAGACGTCGACGTTCAAGCACTTGATATATTGTACACTAGTCTATTTTTGAAGACTATGTGTTCATATCTTGATGTATTAAAGATAAATATAACTTTGTAAAAAAATTCTATGATAAAACAAAATGCACGTAGTACTTTTAAGAAATATGATTGAAGTTTTTTTACCTGAAAAGAGCTGAAAAATAGTTCTATATACAGCCATGCAACTTCCATCTCAGGCTCAAGACATATTGGTATTGCCATGAACATTATGTAGTGTACACCAAATAGTGGTATAAGCACGAGAGTGGATTTGGCTAATTTCCTGTAAAATATTTGTAATCTTTTCTTACATTTCATACTTCATATTTCTTTCAACGTTTCTTTGTTACCTTGATTTGTCTTTTCTTAATTGATTTATGAGATTTGAACATCAGTACCTACTGTTTTTTACAGATGGCATTGTGCGCATCTTATCTTATATTTTGTTTCAGATGAAATATGGTATCCGATTGCAAACATGAACATTACACTATCTTCAAGAGAGCGTATATATCTATATCATGAATCTTTTAAACTACTGACTTAATTTAACAGTATATTTAGTATGCGATTGGATTATGAACCTCATATGATTTTTTAAATAAGTTTTATTTCATTCAAATGATTTTGGGGATTTCTTGATATTAACATGGAGTTTGTCATATCCATATCAATTGGCGAAACTGTGATATTTTGCTAACATTTTTTTTCAAGGTTGTATTGATGTTCCACACTAAACATGTTTTGTTGTTTAAATATTGTTATTTAAACAGTAATGAATATACTTGTATATATGAAACAAATACAAAAAAAAAATCAAATCTGATAAACGCAATTTTTAAACTAATACCTCTAAATTTCTAATAAATATTATACAATTAAGAAAACCTTTGTAATACCTGTAACATTTTGGGTCTCTTGTATTAGTCGCCGATAGTTTGGTAAATAACACTCGAATGATATTTAAGAAGAATAAAAAATTGACCTGAAAAAAAGATCAAAAGCAATCTATAATTCAATAAAGCATATATTGTTAATAGACTTATTAAAATTCAGTGAGTTTTACAGTTTGATATATGGTATAAACTCTTGCCTATTGTTGAAGATCACAACTTTATTGTCATTTGGTTGCTGTTTTCTTCAATTTCTTTTGTTCATATGTTTATGTTGTTTTTTTTGCCAAAATAAAAGAGACAAAATACCCAAGGGTCTCAAAAGTCAAAACACCATGGGCAGTGTTTGTTAAAGTTCAAGTGGTATCGACCTAGTGATATTTTTTTTCAAATTACGCTTTATAAATTCCATGCGTTATTAACGCTTTTCTGAACTTACTTTCATCAGGAACGCTCAAACCTAGAGCTTGACATTTTTGTAGACACCTGTCTAGTGGTAACTTCCATATGTCTTTTGGTTATTTGTGATGTGACGATGCTGTCTCATTGAAGTTAACCCCATATATCCTATTTTCATATTGTATAAAACTTCATCGCATAAAAAAACCATTCTCGATGTTATCGTGGTATCATGATCAACTCTGTAGCAGGTCGGTTATTGGTTCGATTATCTTGGTGAGTCAGAGGAATGGCATTAAAATAAGTATTTGTTGCTTCTTTGCCAAGCATGTGGCAACTAGAAATAAGGTAAAAGATAGGTTGGTACTGAGGAAAATTGTGTGTCCGAGTAAATGAAAATAACACTTTACAATTGTGGTGCGACCGAGGCGTTTGAATTTACATTCACCGGGAACATAATTATCAAATTTCGAAAGCCAAAAAAGTATAAATACCTGAATACTTGAAGATTTATATGACAAAAGAGATCTTTAATGAATAGTTAAATTCATCTAAGGTGAGGTGATATGTCTATCTTCAGTTTTTACCTTGTGAGATAGCTCGATATAAATTACTCAACATGTCGGTTAAGTTCAAGACAGGAAATATTCATATTTCGTAAACATGTTGCCATCCTTCATACTGCATGCAATGTTTGCCGCAGGATACTAAGCATCCATCAATCAATCAACGAATGTTTCAAGTTTTAAAATAACGAATTGAAGTATGTCTTTAAAAATACTAGATGTATTAAACTACAGCACTGAACTGATGGAAGTTTGAACCACGTTTATGTGATATATATTGTGACATTGAATAATTTATCAGACACTCACGGATAAAGTTGCTATGATCGGTCCCTGTAAAATCCAGTGGAACCCATTTTCTTGATTATGCAAATTCCAACATCTGTAAACAAAACGCTAACTTATATTTCAGTTACTTAACTAATCGATTCAACAAGTAATTTATCAAAGTCACACATTTTACTTCATTGACATGCATCCTGTAATTGTTTCATTAGTTTTTCTGATTACAACAGACAAGTTTTAGAAGAAAATGTGATTGGCAAAAGTTTGTTTTAATTAATTGTAATTTTAATCGCAGAATGCTAATCGTTTAGACTATTTCAATACACTGTGTACCAGCTAAGAGAAACGAACAAACTTCTATATTGAATTAAATGTCTAAACTTAATATGTATGTTCCGTACTTCTTGCAATTCTTACGCCTGTGGATGTTTACACAAATAAAAAAAAAGTAAGTGTGTAAAAAGACAAAAATTAATTATCCGATACGCAACTTTTTAGAATTCTTTAAATAACAATTAGTATGACTTACAATGTGTCTTCATATATAACTCTTACAATTATCCATGGCATTACACAGACAATAGGTGATACTGAAATATATTGTAAAGGTATAATGAGAGTCGTAGACACTATCAATATGAATAGACTTAAATAAATGTGCCGAGGAGATACTTTTCATTTCGATCTGTTGGCCTTTTGCGTTTTTGATAAAAGATGTTACACAAATAATAAGTTTTGATCCATTGCTAATGTTGCTGTTTTAAGGAAGCTATTGAATCAAGAATTCCTAGTAGTGAAGTAGAAGTCATCCCTTCGAAACTTTAACGTCATGAGTTGGTTGACCGTTATGGAATATCTGTGCCATATATGACCACGAATTTGTTCCAATTATAATAGCCATTCTTCTGTGCTCGTTTTCTCGATTGTTACATCATCGAATGAGACTTAAAGTCATATGAAACTTCAAATTTAAAAAGTGAAATATGTTGTATATACTTGAATGGCTAAGTTTTAGCATAAACACGTGAACATTGAATTATTTTCTTCCAGTACTCTTATTCGCCGACAGCTTTTTCGTATGCAGTTACCTGAACCATGACTCCACTAGTTAGAAATTGACAACCGCACAGCGCAAGTGCGAGGAAAAAACCGTGATGAAAAAAAGGTAAACAAAAAATGAAGCTAGGAAGATAGAATTAATCAATCCTGAAAGAAACATTTCAATTCTTCAAATTATATAAGAACTGATATGACAAAGTTTAATCAACAAATTGGAATGCATGGCAAATTTAAAAATTATCAATTAAACAACGCTATTATCCAAGCTATCATCTCACTAATTTGTTCCATAATTCTGTGTTGATTGTTTAGCAAGGCCGCTATCAGTACACTTCGTAATCAAAACCCGAGAGTTAGTTAGCAGCTAAAGTTTTCGATCAACAATTACTGATTGAAATGCGTTTTACCGATTATACGTTATGGATTCGTAATAAATGTATAATAACGTGCATAGAGGACTTAGTTTAGTATATATGCATGTATGTGTTCCATAATTTTCTTCACGTTATAATTACAAGTAACCCGTTTCATATGACTTTAACACCAAATCTGCACTTACCATGATCAACAAGACAAGGTGTACTTATTCTTCCGGAGCACCTGATTTCCCTCGATTTTAGGTGTGGTTCATGTTGCTCAGTCATAAGTTTTTATGTAGTGTTTTGTAGTCTGTCTTTGGTTTTGTCGTCTCTCTTTGACTTACGCTATTGATTCTCCCTGTGTTATATTCTGCCCCTTTTTTCTGTTTTCTTGATATTATTAACTTCTACTTGGGTATACAACTGCTGGGAGATTTTAAGTTCATGCAAGTAGTAATTGCTTTTGAGCCGATAGCATTCATAACATACTTTTTGAGGAAAGTTCTGCTTTTTACTTTTCACTTAGACTAGATTAAATGTTTCAATTGTTTTTTCATTTACCTTAAACAGCTTCAGTAACATATTCAAGTCCTTTTGTTTTTTTGGTTATGTTGTGATACATAAGTAACTAGTAGAAAAATGTGGTGAAGTGGTCAGTAAAAACAATTGAATAAACACTCATTTTCAATCTCAATATGATGCGTGATAAGAATTGTTATAGTGTACTTTCTTAACGTAAACCCTTTCAAGGTGTAATACCACCAAATCATAGTACGTCACATCCGGTTGCATGTACGTCACATCCGGTTGCATACGAAAATAGGTCGAAAAAAAATATTCCCTTGAATTTGACAGTTGAAGGTAATTGATCCTACATTTCATTGCAGTAAAACATTTCTGAGTCATAAACATATATCTTGGGTATTTCAAAGCACCATTATTTCTTTATTTGGGGTTTCTATAGAATATTTTGGAAACTTGAGGTTACATGGTTACTAAAGCTTGTACACAGGTTAAAAAAGGGGGAAAATTTGATTGGTTAACTTCCAGTGATGGTTATTTTCTTATATGCAATGAAATGTTATGTGAAATTTTTTCTATAGTACTGGACAGGATAAAACTTTACTCATGCCAAGTATTTGTTTATTTGAAACAAAGATAAATTCTGCACAATTTTTTGAAAAGTGCAAATTTAACAAAGACTAATAGGGGAAAATCAATGGTGGTATTACACCTCAATATGTGAATTTTATTGTTTTTTGTTTAGTTTGTTTTTAGTCCGATTACCAGTTTTCGATATTCACCAGTTTGTTTATAATTACTTACCCCATCCCAAAACAATTAGTACTCTGAACATTTTATTGGATATATTGTGAAAAGTTGTAACAAATATCAGTGTATGCAGATATATTCCCTCGACAAAGATCCACATGTAGTTTGCTACCAAAATATAGAAGAACAAGGCATGGACAAGTTTACACCACCAAGACTGAAAAGTAAGAGGGAAGATATAGATAGAAAATAATAAACAACGTTCTTAAACGGATATGTTAACTTTTGCTTTAACTCTTTCTATAGTTCGGGAGCAACCTTAAATAAAATTTTGAAAAGATAGGCGAAGATACCAAAGGGACATTTGAGCATTCATGGAAGATCAGTTTGCATCGAATATACAAATTAAGTTAAAAGACCATTCTAAAACTTAATTGTTCACATTATAACCTTGAACTTGTTGAAGCTTACTTAAGAACTTAAACTGTTTATCCTTAATTTGGTTAAATGTTTAACATTGAATCGTGTATCAAGTGTTGATTTAAACAATAGGTGTTTTTTTAAACGACCCGATTTAACATCATTTGAATATTTTCATTCTCTTCACAACAAGATTTCACTGCAAATAATTCGTCGAGCACAAGATTGAGTAACAAAAATCAATAAAACTGTGTTGGTTACTAGTAAAGAGCTTACAGCTTCTGAAGAGTTAAGTTGTCTAAGGACTTCGTCCATGATATTCGTTTCGTCTTCAGGAATTCCATGTTCGTCTTTGATGAAGCAAATTATACTTCGAAAGATAAATGATAAGAACAGATTCATGTGGATGGTATTTCTCTGACATCGAAGTTTACTAAGGAAAAATAGAAAAAAAATAATATTTTCAGAGACGAACTACAATAAAAAGATAAGTGAATAATGTCGAATGTATCCTGTAAGTGTTTACAATACATTAAGCTATCCGATATAGATGAGAAACATATCTGAATGGTGTGTTACATATTTGATTCAGTCTTAGAATATCTCATTTTGAAATATTTCCTCGAAAACTTTTATATGAGCCACAACCTTACGTTACTTTGCTACAAGATGTATTCTTGAGTGAAATAACCTTTTGGGTAAGGTTGTGCCTTCTTATTAATTTTTGTCAAAAAGTACATTTGAATATCCTTTTCGGTGAAAAACGTCAATCTGCAATACAATGACCAGACTATGTCATTCTATTAAGATATTAATAGAAAAAAATTAAATCAGATTGGATTGAGACATTATACTTTCCAGGTCCAATAATTTTGTTGTACACTCTATTTTATTTTTCGGCGTAACATGAATATTGATGATTTGTAGTCTGTTCATTGGTGGGTTGGTGGGTTCGACATTATCTTTTGACGAAGAAAACTGATTGATCAGTACATACATGATAACTTCACCATAGAACTTATTACCTCTATGGTATATAAGTGGATTGTTTTCTGAATAACAAATCGTTTCTGTTAAGGTTCAAAATAATCTTAAAGTAAATTCAAATACACTAATCGTCATGCAACTGCCACAAATAAGCTATATACCTAAATATTGTCATGACCACAACAGCTATGACAAGAAATATCAAAGATACAGCGTATCCAATTCTGTATATGATCTGTATTGATTCCATGTGAGACTTTAAATAGATAAGATATGTTACATAATCGATATATTACCAAACACATCTATAAAAAGAAAAAAAGTACATTGGTATCTTTACTCATATCAACAGAATTTGGCAAAAATAGTTGAATCATGTTAATGATGTATTTCAGTCTGATTAAAATCATATCTTTTATTTGATCTTGTTTATTGGTACTGCGCGTTTGCATATAAAAATAAGGAGATGTGGTATGATTGGCAATGAGATAAATATCCGTTCAAATTACAAAGATACAAGCAATGATTTGTCACCATACGGCCTTCAAAACTGAAAAAAACCTATACCTATAGTCAGCTATAAAAGGCTCCAACATGAAAAATGAGAAACAATTCAGACGAGAAAAACTAAAGGACTAATTTATAACAACACCATGTACGAAAAAAAATATATTACCGACATGAACAAACGAAAACCACTGAATTACAGGCTCTTGACTATGGACAGGCACATACAGAATCTGGCGGGGTTAAACATATTGCTGGCGTTCAACCCTCCCCCTAACCTGGGACAGTGATGTAACAACACACCATCAGAACAAACTGTAAAAATCAGTAATAAATGGATTAACGTATTAGAGCGGTACGAAGCAAAAAAACAACTAACTTAAAATCAATAGACACGAATCATCGATATAAGTACTCTGATTTACTGTCTAATTGTTTAGTCTTTATGGGGGAGGGGTCGAATTTTTTTGGCAGACCATATAACGGGGGAAAGTTTGAAAAGTAAAATACGCGAGGGGAATAAATATTCATTTAACTTTAGTATATTCCTGCAGGAGCACTAAAGCATGTCATTTCATCAGGAATTGGTCAACAGAATGTTTTACTCGACCTGCATTTTATTGTATATACCACATGCATGAAATTTGTAAAAGCTTTGTAGCAATATACTTTTGGCTTCTGCACCTCGAATTTTGATACTATTTTGTATAATCAATTCCTCCTACAATTTCGAGCCAAAGTATTTAAACTTTATAGAATGTTAATACTAATACGGTTAATTTATCGTTCCTTAAAATTCAAACAGATACTGACTGTTACGAATGTATGTACTATCCAATAGCGCATTTCCTTTAATACGGTTTTCCAAATAACTAACATAGGTATTGCAAAACGACCGTTTGAGTCTTTTGTCTATTTTCTTTAAGGTTTTGAATGTAAATAATTTTCTTTTAAAATCATCACAATACCAGGCTTGTTATTGAGTTCGCGAGACGCACATTTCGTCTAAATACATGTAAGGCCCATCATGCACTTGCGCTCTTTTAAAAACAATTGGAAGGCCAAATAAATTAAAAATTTAAAGAGCATTGAAAGCCAAAAGCTCTATAATATTGTTCCAAATCTAGCTAAGCCCATCTATGCCTTGGTGTAGAAAAATTACATTGTTCCAAATCACTTGCACGTTAAATAAACAGTGAAGTTAACTGCCTTAAGGAAAATGTAAGTAAAAAAATATGAATGCAAGTGTCTATCTACCTTATAGAATACATAATGTTGGAAAATCTATCGTATATTTCATAACAAATTTATTCTGCATTGTCTTCACATCTTTATTGTAGTCATGACACAATCTTTACTTAGTACACTATTTGTTTTAAGAATAATAAAAAAAGAAACAAAAGTATACCTTGATTAATTCTATTCTTGTTGGTTTGGGTAGAGATGGGAAAGGAATATTTGGAATACATCCGGTAAAATCTGCAAATGATTTATTAAATTTGGGATGGAAGTACCATGTTCCTGTCGGAAGGCATTCCTTGGTAGCATAACCTGTAATGTATGATAAGATTCACAAACCTGCAATGAAGAGTGCTATATCGGAATAAGAAACAAAGATTTCCACGTAAACGCAGAAAGTTTGAAACATACTGAAAATGTCCTTTTCCCTTTCGTGACATTTTTGACTGAGTCTAGATTTCCGTGACGGTTCAAGCATACATAGCAAAAGGAGCTAACCCTATCGAAGCACCCAGCCTTGCTTTTTTAAAATGTATACTTAGTTCTGTCACTCGGATGGTAAATTTATAATGGATATAGGAGCTTTGAATATAGGTAAACTAGTGTTGCTTTTACTTGGGTACTAGTCTATCTGTATTCCTATATATATGTATATATAGCAAAATCAATAAAGGAAATGCAACACTGTACAAATTTCAAAGTGTTGCATTTAAATTATTCACTTTGCTATGTTTTAAACAATGTGCGTTTGCTTGCATATAAACTTAAATGAGTTCATTCAAAGTGAGTAAATGGTAGCATTAGTTACTTTATATTCTCTGTCAATCAAATATAAAGATCTGCCAAATTTGTATGCAAAATCGTACAAAAATTGTGACATTATCCTTTTCTGTAACTTGGCCTTCGCATTAAAATACGAAGACTTTTTAAAAGGTTTCTGGCTATATTTGAGATGTTCAGCTTGAATTCATCTGCGTCCATAAATATTTCACTTGCAGTGATTTCAGATCAGTCCAGTCACTATCAGTGCAATCCATAATTTATTATCATTCATTGTCTATTCATTACTGATTTTTCAGATAAATAAAAATCAAAAGTCGTTCCAGTGTAAACGAATTAAATTATAATAAAATACTTATATGAATAAAGTTTTTCTTAAAACTGATACCTGAAGTATTGAAACCATGTATATAATCCGGACACGATAGTTTTGAAATCTCTCCAGCTTTTGTAGGAGGCCAACACATAATTCCGTCAAAGTGTCCACTACATTCTGCAAAAGTTTAATGAAGTATGACAAATAAATTTAAAAAGAAGTACTAGAAAAATGTGAAATATCGGCAAACAGATTCGAAAAGTATTTATACATTAAAACTCATCTCTGCCAAGCTGCTGATCAAATATCAAGTCATTCTGTTCAGTAGCACTTGAGAAAGAAGAGAGGGACGATAGATACCAGAGGGAAAGTCAAAAGAAAAGTATGATGGAAAATTTCACGTTCATTGTACTTATTGAAAAAATCAAAATATCGGAACACAGGAAATACGTGTCTTACGTATCCGAAAAGTCCTCACGTATAACAACTTATCACTGTTAAGTTGCTGACAAAATATGATGTAATTTTTAGACTAAAATCGGAGAAATATGTGACGAAATAACATAAAGTCCATTCACCATATTCAAAGATTTAAAGTATCATCAAACAGCAAGAAGGTTTCTGACATATCCTAAAAGTGCCCACATGTTAACATTTATTACTGTTAAGTTTCTTACCATAAATCAAGAAAGTCATTCTGTTCAGTAGAATCTGAGAAAATTTTTCTTGAAGTACGGACTGAGGGATGGAAAAGGTGAGTGCAACATAGCACCTACTCCTTGAATTGGGGTAACATATGAATCTGTCTCAAGAGACACACGGTTTGTTTTATGAAATATTGAAGTTATTAAGCAGTCAATAGGTCTATGCTTTCAACTTTGAAGAAGGTTATACATGTATGTTGATGTCTGTTGTACGTAAATATCATAAGTATCCAGTTTCTATACAAAAGAAAACATCGTGGTTGAAACAATATTTTAAAATGTGTATGTATACAAGTGAAAGGTTTAGCTAGCTATAAAAGCAGGTTTAATCCACCATTTTCTACATAATGAAATGCCTGTACCAAGTCAGGAAAAATACAGTTGTTTTCCATTCGTTTGATGTGTTGGAGCTTTTGATTTTGCCATTGGATAAGGGACTTTCCGTTTTGAATTTTCCTTGGAGTTCGGTATATTTGTTATTTTACTTTTGATGATGATGATGATGATGATGATGATGATGATGATGATGATGATGATGATGATGATGATGATGATGATGATGATGATGATGATGATGATGATGATGATGATGATGATGATGATGATGATGATGATGATGATGATGATGATGATGATGATGATGATGATGATGATGATGATGATGATGATGATGATGATGATGATTTACCTGTATTATTGTTTATAGGTTCAGACAGACTTGCGTTACAATCGGTCAGAGCTTTCCTCAGTGCTTTCAGTTGGTCAAGCTGAGTAATTTCCTGTAAAAGGATAAGAAATGAATATATTGTTACTTTCATTTTCTTTGTGTTCTTTTTGTTAGTGTTTTGCAAAAATGTAAGAAGATACAAATTGGGCAATGGAAAATCATCAGTCAAACAAGGAATACAATCCAACAATTGACAAACAAAGAAAGTCAGAAAGACAAATAGATCCACAAAACATCACACAGAAAACTAAATATTTAGCATCACGAACCATACCATAACATGAATATACATGTACTCGAAAATCAATCAGTTAATCAATCGATATTAATAAGTAAGATTCCTGTCTTTATACTTTAGCTGTACTTGGATAACCTTTCTAGCGTCGCTGATGAATCTTTTTAGACGAAACGCGCGTCTGGTGAACAAACGTTTAAGCCTGAATTCTATGACGAGTTAATTTACATGATATAAACCATTCAAATCAAGAAAGAATAAGTAAGTAGTATGGGAAGAATTCATGGACTGCATTGCATATCCTACCTATCATCTCTTTACAATAAATGCACCAGTAAAACATAACAAAAACACCCCAAAAAATACTTTAATGAATAAGATAAATATGAATACAAGTGTCTGTATCTGATTTCAATGTGTGGTCATATGGATGGCATATTTTACGTCGGCTCCTCGACCCGAGGATACAGGATAAAAAGAACACTACTTCTTGTATTGATTTAATGGTTTATTGTTTTAATTGTAAGACTTAATTTTGATGAATATCCTTTTAAAAAGCCGATATAAATTTTTTGCTATCATAAAACTTAAACTAGTCACCTGCTTATTGTTGAAGACCGTATGTTGACCTCAAGATGTCTTATTGACGTATACCCATATCTCCTTTTATTTAATAACTTAAGACCGACATTCTAAATTTTGATTTTCCCATTTCCTCGGCTGTAGACAGCACTTGTTAAATTCGTCACATGAAGACTATCGGAAGTAATGATTTATTTATCGTGTTCATTTCGTCAACAACTATTTTAATATCTTGAATAATCAGTCAAGAAATTTCCTTTTTTTAAAGAAAAATACTTGTTAGTTATAAGTTTCTATCCAATTTAGTCGTGAACTATTTAACTTGAGTGATAATTGTTTAATGAAACTTAAAGAGTCCCAAATGACCATTACGACCATTATCACTTAACCGAGATATTCATTCGAATGTAAAGTTTTCTTTAAATATTCCCACAGACAAACGACTATGATAGAACTTGTAAATAGAAACACAAGTCAAGAAGCACTTAACATTCGGAACTTATTGTTACCCAATTAACGTCAATTTAAACTTCAAGTATCGATTGCTATTGATATACGAAATACACGCCGTTTAAAAGCGTCGACATAGAGTGTTTCTGGTGAATTAATTTCATCATAGAACCGAAATATAGAAAGTAGTAAAATGTGGTTTCAAAATTTATATAATATTATATTTTTAGGTTACACATTAATGTTTTAATTAGTTATATATATTAGTTATTCTACTTAGAAACATCTCCCCTTTTAAATCGAACGTATCTGGTACAGATAATTGTTTATATAAAGGTTTCAGTAAAATATGTCTAATATAACTTTCCTGTTTAGAGAGTACGCATTAGGAGAAAGTTTTTCTCTAAAAACAATATCTGTTATTGAAGATTGTTTTTCTTTCGAGTTTTACTTTCCCCAATTTACATAACTTAATTGAAAAATTTTGAAATATATCTCAAAAAGACATGTACAAAGTAAAATAACAAAAATACCGAACTCCAAGGAAAATTCAAATAAATATTCTCTTCCAATGCGTCTTTAAAAGAATGAATGAAGAGTTACATATTTTATATTTTTGTACGTATTTCATTGAACGCTTTTAAAAATTACTTCTTATCCAAGTCAAAATAGGGGGAGGAGGATGTCAAGGAGCAATAAAAAACATAAGTCGAAGAAAACAGAAAACCACGTGGACCTCCACCACGGTAAAGCAAATTAACGACGAAAAGACAAAATAAAAGATTGAGCAACACGAATCCCACTCTAAACCAAGATGAACTTGTTGTGCCCTGGAAAAGTTGACGTTATCATTTTGCAATTTACACAACCCTTTGGAATGTACTTATTACTATAAAACTCCTCGCGAATGTGTTCGCGTGAAACTCTTGTTTTAATGTTATGATATGTTTTAAATCAATCGTAATTTTAAGAGGTATTAGGTATTGGTATCACTTAACGTATAATTGAATAACAAGTTTTATTTAAAACAAAATAGGAAATCTGTTTTATAAGCTTCAATACCTTGAAAAGTATATGATCATGAATGATCAGCAAACATTTGAAATTATTCCAACTGTAGAATTAAATGTAACCTTCCATATGTTTAAGCCTTAATCTTTTTAGCCAGTTACACGTGTAAATAATCCAGATATCACCCATTATCTGTTGCATTTTTTCTAATTCATAATGTCACATAAATCTGTTTTATACCAATAATTGCACAATCTAATCAGAAATGCATTAAACAGTAACTGCTGCAGTTGCATGTCAAAACGTAAATAAAAATAGCGCTTTAAATTAGGTGCAAATCAGTAGGTGTTTCTCTCTCATAAAAGATAACGCTGGATTTATTATGCAACTTATTTATGGAGCATGTACTTTCAAGCCAGAATATAAAACCGTTGACAATTAATAAACTTGTCAACTTAATAGAAAGAATTCTTGATACTGCAATTTCATACAGAGAGTGTAGAATTTATCTAAAAATAAGATGTGGTATGATATACTTTTATTTATGAAAATGAACAATCATGTTTGTCCATTCATGGATGAACCTTTCATTCTGTAAGTAAATATATTTGCACACGGATCCTTATCTATCTACTGTTGACAACATTATCATAAAGAAAAGAAAGAGTACACAAACAATTGTGGGAATAACATTAAAGAAAAGAAAGAGTACACAAACAATTGTGGGAATAACATTAAAGAACAGAAAGAGTACACAAACAATTGTGGGAATAACATTAACCTAAAAACGAAATATGACCCAAATAAACCGAATAATCGAAAATAGTACTAATTACAGCGGCAAAAGGGAACAGTGCTTTTTTGCTTACAAAAAAAATCAACTAAAGGAAAAAACAACTAATCAAGAAATGCTAGAAAACAGTATTAACCATTAGCTTAGTGGTAGAATAAATATGTATTAATTTCGATTCATATTTAATATCACCAAAGATATATACCACCTGTGCGTCATACCGAGTCTTTGGACGACCAGTTTTTTTTTCAAACCCTTTTCGAATTCATCTCATTCGTACTTAACAATTTCCCTTACAGTTTTCCAAGCTTAATTCACCCGTAAAAATACTTCTAAATATGATAAAAAACGTATTTTTTAATTTAAAGTTGAATTCGCTAATAAGGGTTTGCGGTCAATATACATCTTCTACACACAATCTGTACATAAAGTAATGTCTGAATACTCCAAAGAAAAATTAAACCAGTATTGTTATTACTATACCATTGATTCCAAAATGTCCATTCACAGTAGAATATAAGAAACCTTTACCGTCAAGGATGTAAAATTCGAACTTGATCTTGTCTCTCCATCGTCTCATACAAATAAAGTCCGGATAGTTATGTTATAACCAAGTACACTGGTATCGTAAACAACGAACAACCAAGAAAGTTGTGAGGCAAAGGCCGGAAATACCGAGATCCCAAGTCCATCACCTGGGAGAAAAACTTCATATTATTGATGGATGCAATCGAGGAATATGCAAGAAAATGGGTAATGCTGAAGCCAGATGAACCTATGCTGGACACTTCATTCTAAAGATTGTGGATGATGTATCCTCTCCTAACAACAGATATTTTGTTGTTCCAGCAGATACATTACTATGCAAAATTCATTACTTGGATAGCCTTGTAAAAGTACTTGGAATTTACAGCAAACCTTGGAAACCTTAATATATGGTAAATAAACTCATCATAGATACCAGGATTGAAATTTTGTATTTGCGCCAGACGCGCGTTTCTTCTACAAAAGACTCATCAGTGACGCTCGAATCATAAAAAGTATTTTGATCAGAACAGCTCTTAAAAGACTAAACAATGAATACTGACTGAAAGACTGAACGTTCCGTCATAATTTATTTTTCATACTTTTTAGATGATGTTAAAATCAAACTGATTGTTTCAGACTAAAACTCGTTTACTAGTGAAATACACCGGAGACAATATCATTAAAATACTGGACTAATTTTTATCAGTAACATAATTATTGAGTTTGGTGGATTGCTATGTGGTCGAACAGTCGGTATTTAAGTGGGTACTAATTGTGCATCCTTACTGGTTTACTTGTTTTTGTACTCATATAAAACAAAGCTCGTACAAAACCTTTTAAAAGACAAGAAAAGCATCCTGCAAATTTCTTTAATTTCACGTTTCAGATTTATTGGTAATGTCCTGTCACTCAAATTGAGAGAGTGCTTGCATCTCCAGGTGGCGACTTCAAACTAGGGTCTAAATCAAAAGTGACGATGTCAACTTTCCAATCATATGCCCAATCGTATAGCCTTTGTATATCTAAATTGATACGTTATACACGACAATGTTCAAATTATTCGGACTTTATTAACAGGGGTGTGCTTTTGACACCAAATTGTTCCTGCAGGGTTATGAGAAATAGCCTTTGTATATCTAAATTGATACGTTATACACGACCATGTTCAAATTATTCAAACTTCATTAACACGGTGTGCTTTTGACACCAAATTGTTCCTGCAGGGTTATGAGGAACAGTCGGTATTTAAGTGCGTACTAATTGTGCATCTTTACTGGCTTACTTGTTTTTGTACTCATATAAAACAAAGTTCGTACAAAACCTTCTAAAAGACCAGAAAAGCATCCTGCAAATTTCTTTAATTTCACGTTTCATATTTATTGGTAATGTCCTGTCACTCATATTGAGAGTGGCGACTTCAAACTAGGGTCTAAATCAAAAGTGACGATGTCAA